AATTACCAAAAACCTGAATGTTTTACACAATGTTTTAATTTGAGCAAATTATTTTTTATTTTTCTGGTCCTGGGGCTTGAACACAGGGCCTGGGCACTGTCCCGGAACCTCTTTCTGCTCAAGGACTAATAATGCTCTTCTATTCGAGCCACAGCACCACCCCTGGCTTTATTGTGTAGTTTATTGGAGGTAAGAGTCTCACATCAAAGCTGGCTTCCAACTACCATCCTCAGATCTCAGTTTCCTGAGTAGCTAGGATTACAGGCATGAGCCACTGGTGCTGAGCAGATTATTTTTACAAACTAAAATTTGAAAAATCCACCATTAGAAATGTATCAGTCTCTTCCATTTTGGCTTCTATATTTCCCATTATAATCTAAGTGAAATAAAATTTAATATTTTATTTTAAAAACTATTTACTGTTTTCCCCTGTGTATTTGTTATAATTTCCCATTTTGTTCACTGACTTCAATTTGTCTTTTGTTCTCATTATTTTGAGACACTACAAGTTTCAATAGTTAACTAATGTAAATTCTATTTTCAATAAATTCATTGATGATTAGAAATATTTGAGAATGCCTCTTCAGTCATTGCATCTGTTTTCTTCTTAAAATGGTGATAATATTTAATGATATTTGACTTATTTTACTTTACTGGAATATTTTATCAAACTCCTAATGTAAGAATGGTTGAAGAACTTATCATGTATGTAAGGATAGAAGGAATCATTTTGTTTTGTTTTTTACTTTCAGTGACTTTAAGGCAACTGTACCAATTATAAAAATCTTCTCAGGGGGCTGGGAAGGTGGCTCAGTGGTAGAGCACTTGCCTTGCATGCCTGAGGCCCTGGGTTCGATTCCTCAGCTCCACATAAGCAAAAAGAAAAAAGCCGGAAGTGGCGCTGTGGCTCAAGTGGTAGAGCGCTAGCCTTGAGCTGAAGAGCTGAGGGACAGCGCCCAGGCCCAGAGTTCAGGCCCCACGACAGAACTCCCCCCCAAAAAAATCTTCTCAGGAGGCTGAGATCTGTGAATCACAGTTCAAAGCCAACACAGGCAGAAAAGTCCGTGAGACTCTTATCTCCAATTAACTACCATAAAACTGGAAGTGGCACTGGGCTCAAGTGGTAGAATGTTCAACTTGAGCTGAAGAGCTCAGGGACAGTGCCTAGGCCCAGAGTTCAAGCCTCGCAACCAACAACAAAAAAAAAAAATCTTCATGCTTGGATATAAGAATCTTATTCCTAAGAACCACATGGTTATCTCAATAGACGCAGAAAAAGCATTCGACAAGATCCAACACCCCTTCCTGATGAAGGTTTTGGAAAAATTAGGAATCCATGGAACATTCCTCAATACAATAAAGGCTGTATATGACAAACCTACAGCCAGCATTATACTCAATGGTGAAAAACTAAAGCCATTTCCCCTTAACTCAGGAACAAGACAAGGATGCCCACTCTCTCCACTTCTCTTCAATCTAGTATTAGAATGCCTAGCTACAGCAATAAGACAAGATGCAGACATAAAGGGGATCCAAATAGGGAAAGAAGAAATAAAACTCTCCCTCTTTGCAGATGACATGATCTTATATTTAAAGAATCCCATAGACTCCACTCCCAAATTACTCAAGCTGATTCAAAACTTTGGCAAAGTAGCAGGGTATAAAATTAACCCCAAAAAATCAATGGCTTTCCTGTATGCCAACAATGAGAAAAGTGTGGCTGAAATTAGGAAAGCAACTCCATTTGTAATAGCCCCACAAAAAATAAAATACCTAGGAATTAACTTAACCAAAGAAGTGAAGGACCTCTATGATGAAAACTTTAAAATCTTGAAAAAGGAAATCAACACAGAACTTAAAAAATGGCAAAACCTCCCATGCTCCTGGATTGGAAAGATTAACATCGTGAAAATGGCAATACTTCCCAAGGCTATCTACAAATTCAACTCAATACCTATCAAAATTCCACCCTCATTCTTCAAGGAAATAGAAGAGGCAATCCAAAAATTCATATGGAACAATAAAAGACCCCGAATAGTAAAAACGCTCCTCAACGGAAAGAACACTGCTGGAGGAATATCAATACCAAATTTCAAACTCTACTATAAAGCCATAGTAATCAAAACAACTTGGTATTGGCATAAGAACAGACCTCAGGACCAATGGAATAGAATTGAAAACCCAGAAATGAACCTACAGACCTATAGCCATCTAATCTTTGATAAGGGAGCTAAAATAATAGAATGGAAGACAGACAGCCTCTTCAGTAAATGGTGCTGGCAAAACTGGTTAACTACATGTAGAAAACTAAATAGAAAACTAAAGCTAGATCCTTATATATCACCCTGCACCAGAATCAACTCCAAATGGATCAAAGACCTTGAACTCAAAGCAGACACTCTGAAAACATTACAGGATGGAATAGGAGAAACCCTGGGTCTCCTTGGCTCAGGCCGAAATTTTCTGAATAGAGACCCGGAAACACAACAAATCAAAGAAAGGTTGGACAAATGGGATTGCATAAGGTTGCAGAGCTTCTGCAGGGCAAATGACATAGCTAGCAAGATCAATAGAAAGCCCACGGATTGGGAGAAGATCTTTACTAGCCATACAACGGACAAGGGTCTCATATCTAAAATATACTTGGAACTCAAAAAATTAAACCACCCAACAACAAATCCTCAAAGAAACAACTGCCCAATAAGTAAGTGGGCGAAAGACTTAAAGAGAAGCTTCTCTGAAGAAGAAAGAAGGATGGCCAATAGACACATGAAGAAATGTTCAACATCCCTAGCCATAAAAGAAATGCAAATCAAAACAACATTGAGATATCACCTCACTCCAGTTAGAACAGCAAAAATCAAGAACTCTAACAACAACAGATGCTGGAGGGGATGTGGACAGAAAGGAACCTTACTTCACTGTTGGTGGGAATGTAAACTTGTTCAACCACTTTGGAAAGCAGTATGGAGGTTCCTCAAAAGACTTCACATAGAACTCCCCTATGACCCAGCAATCCCACTTTTGGGCATTTACCCAAATGTTTACAAACAAGACCACACTAAAGCTACCAGCACGACTATGTTTATTGCAGCATTATTTACCATAGCTAAGATATGGAACCAACCCAGATGCCCCTCAGTAGATGAATGGATCAAGAAAATGTGGTATATATACACAATGGAATTCTATGCCTCCATCAGAAAGAATGACATTGCCCCATTTGTTAGGAAATGGAAAGGCTTGGAAAAAATTATATTAAGTGAAGTAAGCCAGGCCCAAAGAAACATAGGTCCCATGGTTTCCCTTATTTGCAATATCTAGTATAGGTATGAGTCAAGCGGAAAAAGTCAGAGAATGTGATGTTAGGAAAACGAACCCTCAAATATGTATTTTAATGTTTTTGTTTCTTTCATGCATGTGTTTCTAACGAATTTATAAGATTATTTCTTTGTTGCTTTGTATGTCCCTCCCCCACAGTGTAACCCCCGCTTTCACTATATTTGATGTCAGTATAACATGTGGAGGAGACGGGGACAAACAAGTCGTTTAAGGATTCAGGTGGACCTGTTGCAACAATGAGAAGTACAAAATGTCATGTCAAAACCAGCTTTACAATGTCAGAGTGGGGGGGTGAGGGGGGGTTTGATTGGGTGGGAGGGAGGGGGGAGGCTGGGAAGGGAGGTGAAGGGTAAACAAAGGAGGAGGCTGCAATGCTTGGTAAGAAATGTATGCATTATCCTGCCCATGTAATTGTAACCCCTCTGTACAGTATGTTCTCAAATAAAATTAAATTAAATTAAAAAAAAAAAAGAATCTTATTCCTGCTATTGCAGCTTTGGTGCAACAGGTCAACAAAATAGCCTTCAATTTCGTTTATTACATCCCATCACTCCTTTAGATTTTATCTTTCCTGCAAATAATGAAAGAATAATTCATGTGGAAAAACAAATAACTCAAAATATAAATCTGAATGCAATATCTATGCCAGCATGAGGTGCATATCATATAGCAATGTTTGAAGGCTGTTTCAAATACCTTCTGTAACTTAAGGAGACAAGTAACAGGTAATATATTATAATTCCTTTGTAAAAGATGGTGTTCTGGATCAAGGCAAGAATCCATGTGAATTTTCAAGTGGATTACCATACACTGAGGACTGATAAGTTGCCTAGGTGCAATGTGTTTCTGTAAATCCAGTATTCCCAAAGAATTTCCAACATACCTTTCATTGTATAGGTGTCTAATGGGGCTTATGACATTGATGAGCCAGTTGAATATCCAAGGTAACTTTGGGTAAAGTTAAGTCCTGTAAAAAAAATGTAAAAAGTAACTTTTATCTCTATAAACTATTCTAGAGTTATTTGTATTGTTTAGGGATTCACAATTACCAAGAAGTATAGAAAGCTCTTTTTTTCTTCCAGTTCTGGAGCTTGAACTCAAGGCCTGGGCATTGTCCTTGAGCTCTTCTGCTTAAGGCTAGTTCTCTACCACTTTGAGCCACAGCACCACTTCCAGTTTTCTAATGGTTAATTGGAGATAAGAGTCTCATGGACTTTCCTGGCTGGGCTGGCCTTGAGCCTCTGTCTTCAGAGCTTAGCCTCCTGAGTAGCTGGGATTAGAGGCATGAGCCACCAGCACCCAGATATTTTCTTTTGATTCACTTTTCTTATTCCAAGAACTTCCCCCAGTAACTTACTCCTCTTGACATATGGTCATTTCACAAAAAGGCCACACTGTTTAACCCACTATAAAATTTCTGGTGCTTTATCATACTTTCTAATTCCTTATATACTATTTATTTGATTTATTAATGTTCATTTCTCCAAATAATTTAAGATCCCCAAGAACAAGTATATTAAAATCCATATCCTTATTGCTTAGCATGAAGTAAACATCCAATAAGTAATTGCTCTATCAATGAGTGGAATCAACAATTGTATTTTATTTTTTACTTTAACATGAATATCCTAGGATGTTTGAAGGAAAAGGAAAAGGAGTCAACAGTTTATAGTCTTCAGTATTTCAGGACAAAACTGGAATAAGAATAGGAAATAAAAAATCTTTAGCAGAATTCCAGATAAATTCATTCCAAGAAACACTTGTGAGTTGAAGTCAGTGTCAGGAGCTTTGTTCTTTTGACTCAACAGATCCGGAGAGCGATATTGGCAGGAGTCTCCGTGCCAGCCATAGTAGCAGTGACAACCAAATCCATTCTTCATGTCTGTGATTGTTTTCAGTTTACTTTGTTTTGAAGTGACAAACCTGAAGCTCTTGTTTGGCATGAACTTTTTATTGCTGTTTCCAGGCATGTGCAGATAACAGGAGGCTTCGAGGGTTTTTCGAACACATCTCCCATGATTGTTACAGAGACTTTCACTGCAGAGTTCTGCCGCAGACGTGACATTCACAGCATAGGAACCCAATGGACCTTGAACGGATTGCTGCACTGACAGGCAGGTATCCTGTAGGAAAACAGACATCACCTGAAGGCACTTTCCAAATGTGATTTTGTTATCCAGGAGGTATGAAAGATTAAAGTTTCCGTCAGAACTGCTGACAGCAAAGGCTCTTTCAGTGATTTGATGTTTTAAATGAGGATAGGTCTGTACCCATGCACCTGGATGATGAGACATACCATTGACCAGATTATGATACAACCGTTATCTCATCATTTCCAGGGGAAGATGATCCTGTACTATCCTATTAGAGAATGTTCTTGACTGCCTACAGGAAATATGTAGCAGCTTTTTAAAATAACCATAAATATGGAATAGCATTTGGAAACATTAACTTCTATTGTGGAATGTTTTTAATGTTGATGTAGGATATATGTTATCATTAGGATGCCTTTCTCCAACACTGGAAAGTCATCCTGTTCTCCTTCCCACCTCTAGTTGGTGAGTTTTCCGTGCTTACTGTATTTTACTAGGTATATATGTATCCCTAATATGTGTGTGTGTGTGTGTGTGTAATTATGGAAATTGGTTTTAAACATTAATGTAAGTGCATATTATATGGGATATATTCTACACACCTTAATTTTAAACATATCATATTAAATGTTGATCATGGATACATACATGTAGCTCTGTTTCCTTCCCTTTAACTGCTAGTATTTCATAATGAAAATATACTGTAATTTACCAACCATCCTATTTGTAAGTTAAAATATAAAAGATCACTATCGACAGCTAAATGCCTAAGTCATTTGTACAAGGATTCAGAATGCACTGATAGTATCTTTAGGAAAGTCTAAAGTCTGATATTGAGCATTTCATTGATATATTAACATATCTTCAGTTCTTACACTTTACTTATGTTCTCAAATGTAGTGCTTCTATGGGACACTCTGGATAAAATGACATTGTCAGCTAATCCTGAAAAGTCAGGTTGTCTTAGTAGATTTCTGCCTTGATCTACATAAAAAGAATCATGACAAAAACTATGAAGATTAATTAGTAAGTTGGGTTCTCATTGGCATAGAAAGTATTCTATCAATATCAACATGAGTAAATAACAAAACCAATTAACTTACAACAGTGGAGCATTTTTCCAGTGAAAGGAGACCTCAGAACTATGAATCCATGTATTAAAAGTTTGGGAGATTCAAATGGAAAATCCTTAAGTAGCATAAATCTCTTAATGACAGCTAGTTGACCAAGGTAGTCCATTGGGAAATAGCAAGTCTAGAATGTGCTGTGCACAACATCATTTGTGCCAAGCATTTTCAGTCTGGGCTAGCCTCATGCTACACTTAGAAGTAAATGCTATTCTTAGTCAGGAAAAGACTACACACACACACACACACACACACACACACACACACACGTATATTCTATATATGAAGAAAGCATAAATTTGTTTATAAAAGTTGTAACTAAAAGTTCTAGTTTTATACATATTTAAAATATTTTCCCAAGTAAAAATTTAGTCGAAGAATTAATTTTAATATAATGCCACATAAATTTGAAAAGTTAGTTAAAATACTACATATAGACTGGCACTGGTGGCCCATGTCTATTATCCTAGCTACTCAGGAAGCTGAGGACTGAGAATTAATATGCAAAGCCATCTATCTGTACAGGAAAGTCTGTGAGACTCTTAGCTCCAATTAACCACCAGAAAACCAGAAGTGGAGTTGTGGCTCAAAGTGGTGAAGCACTGGCCTTGAGCAAAAGAATTCTGGGATAGTTCCCAGTCCCTGAATTCAAACCCCATGGCTGACAAATAATAGACAACCAAAACCAAAACCTACGTATAAAAATGTATTGATAACAACCAGAGTAGTTTTAACATTAACTCCTTTGTTAAATGTCATAACGAGTTAAGTGAATCCACCCTTTTGTAATTTTGTAATTTCACATTCTTTTACTTTGTTACCTATATATCATGACATGCAGCCTACTAAAGTTCCTGAGTAGTAAATACAATTTTAGTGTGAAGTTTTAGATGGAGACATTAGAATTCAGGCCCCAAATCACACCATTAGCCTGTAATATTCAGTTTCTCGTTTCAGGTTGCCTGGTTGGAGACTCCGCTTTCTCCACTCTCTAATAACCAACATGGCTGGTATACAAGAGGTGCTCACACTATTGTAGTCTCTGTTCTCTGAAGCTCACTAAAGTCAAAGGCACAGGTAATCAGAGATAGTTGTAAGGGCTTTATATTCTATCTGGAATGTATGGAGAATGCTGAGAGGAATAGTGGCTTACCTTTGAAGCAGAATATTCATATCCTCCCCATAATATTACTCCCGCTGCCCCCAGTGCAGCACTTTCACCAATTGTATGCACCAAGTCCTCCTGGAAAAGCAAGTATTAGATATCATTTATCATAAGTCATTCATGAGGCTCAGACTCTCAGCTATGATAAACAGCACAATAGTATTGCCACCTTTGTTCTTGAAGTGAAGGTCTATGGCAGAATTTAGAAAGGTGATTGTGTCGATGCATTTTTAACTTGCTTGGTACAGATACATAAGATTACAGGCAAGTTTGTGAACATTGAGACTTATTTCTTCACCCATTTCCTTTGAAGATCAATTGTAATTGCTTGGATTATTATAATCTATTGCATCAATTATTTTCTACTATTGGTATTGGTGGTATTTTTTCTTACCTATTGTAGACACTCAATAATAATTGGATTGGATATGTTTGAATAACTTAGTCTTTTCCCCAAACAGGATTTGAAAAGTGACACAATTTGAGAAATCTGTCACTTGAGGAATATCATACTGAGGATACTTTGGTACCCACAACTAATCTCTTAAAGTATTCAGTGTAGCAGCTTTTGGGGAAAAAAATTATTTGCCACACTTCACCAAAAGGTAGAATTAGGAGCAATTGTATGAAATTATCCAGAGGCAAAGTAAAATTCAACATGTTCAAGAAATTTCTAGGAATAAATATTACCAAAATAGTAGTTTCCCTTCTGATACAGGAAGTACCCCTATCCAAAATTGCTAAATTAGAGACCAATATGGAAGTTCAGGCTTCAGAGGGAGATGAAGAGGAAGCTGTTGATATTGCTCAAACATTTTGCCATTGTGCTATGACAGTTTCTCCCCTAAACTTAACAAATAAAAAGTTCCTTTTCATTAAGAGTAATCTTGCAAGGACAAAAATGTCTGATTTCATCAGTGATATTTGAGCCAAATAGAATTCATTTTGAAATAGTTTAGTAATAATTGCTACAACTTTTAAAGGCTCTTACCTCAAGCATAAGCGGTCAAAGGTAATGAATTGAGTATGATCCAATAGATAGACTACTTACATACTGAGAAATGAAATTGAATTGTGGACTGTCACATATAGAGAAAGATTTAAGGATTTTCTTATGTAGCCACCTGTTAATGATGGCACCTTTACAATAGTCCAACGAATACTTAAAAACTTCCATTATTTTAAAATTCACTTTTTCCATGTAAGTTCATCCTTACATCTCTGAGTCTCCTACATTGAGATTACAGATAATATCTGTTTATATAACCTACATTTAATCTTTCAACAATAACTGCTAGAACACATTTTTCCACATAAGGAAATATCAGACAAAACCTATGCCATCTTGCCAGGTATCAGTGGCTCACGCCTGTAATCCTAGCTACTCAGGTGGCTGAGATCTGAGGATCAAGCTTCCAAGCCAGGCCGGACAGAAAAATTGCCATGAGACTTTTATCTCCAATTAACCACTCAAAAACTGGAAGTAGTGCTATGGCTCAAGTTGTAGAGTGCTAGCCTTGAGCTCAGACGCAACAGAGCCCAGGCCCAGAGTTCCAGCTCCACAACTGATAGCAAAAAACAAAAACACCTATGCCATCTTTTCAGTTAGTCTAATAAAGGGAAACAGAAAAATGCAATACAATGTACTTGGTTGATAATTTACTTTTAAAAAATCTCTATATTTGTATGTTTATGATTTGGAAAATTGCTGCTGTAGCTGATAGCTAAAATTAATCTATATGTTATTTTAAGCCAAGTTTTATAATTATTCTTTTTTTAATTGTGAAAATAACATACAGAGGGGTTACAGTTACATGAGCAAGGTAATGAGTATATTTCTTATCAAGCATTGTAGACTCCTCCTTTGTTTCCCCTTCCCACCCCTTCCCAATTCCCTCTTCTCCTCTCTCATCCCCCCCTCCCCCTGCCCCATGCCAAAGTTGTAAAGTTCATTTTTCCACATAAAGACTTGTACATCTCATTGTTGCAATGGGTCTACCTGTATCCTATTAAAACAATTTGTTTTTTCCCTTCCCCTCCACAAATTGTACCAACATCAAATACAGTGAATATTATAATTATTCTTAAAAAAAAATTGTGAATTCTAAGCTAGCAAGATTCATTATCCAAACTCTGGATGCTGTCTAATTGTCAATGATTGAGAACTTCAGAATTGGTTTGACATTTGAAGAAACATAGTACATCTTTTTTTTTTTTTTTTTGTCTTTTGTGGGCCTGAACTCTGGGCCTGGGCACTGTCCCTCAGCTCTTCAGCTGTAGACTAGCACTCTACCGCTTGAGCCTCAGCCCCACGTATGGCTTTTTCTGCTTATGTGGTGCTGAGGAATTGAACCGAGGGCCTCATGCATGCAAGGCAAGCACTCTACCACTGAGCCACCTTCCCAGCCCCACACAGTGCATCCTTTTAACAATAAAATAACCTGTTATCAAGGAGAAATAAATATCTTGAACACTTCTTTCTGTATTTCCTATATCATTCAACTAAATTTTCTTTTTTTTTTTTCTTACCTCTGACAGAACTTCAATACTATGCAAATAAAATGGCCTGGAAAAAATAAAAACTGGCAAAACATAGTCATGTCTAGCCATTTCAGCAATTCTCATGGCTTCCCTGACTCGATGATGAACAAATCTCAGTGCATTTAAACTTGACTTTAGTACTTTACTCAAGTATATTGAAGGATAAAGTGCTGTGCTTTTCTCCCACAGCCATAGGAGCTGGTCATTGCGGAGAATTTCATCTTCTGGACAACTACCTGTGTAGGTCGCTGGATTTATTATGTAATCGTAATTGTAGCAGTCCGGATAGAGATAAAAGCCCCATAAACTTTTGGGTCTCATTTCTGATGCGAGGGCAAGGGTAACATTCATAAAACTCTTGCCAGCACTTTCAAATTCCTGTCGGGCAGCTGTTCTCACTTCTGAATCCGACCAATCGGGATGCTGGCGTCTGGTGAGGGCTAGGGAGTGGTTCTTGAATACTATTCTATTGCCCCAATTCCTATCCCACTGGGGCTTCCAGTTTTCCCAGTCAATGACAATCAGTCCTTCGGACCACCACGAAGGAATAGCTTTTGCAATGTCATTGGCAGCTTTCTGAAGGTGTTCAAAAAGGCTCGTGTTCTGTGGTATCCCTCCATTAAAGGATTTTCCGTTTTGAGAGAAATAAGGATAATATCCCAATTCATTTGGATAAAATATGGTAACAGTTGATCCACTTTGTGTCTCTAAAGGGTTTGATATAATGTTAAATACGTCAAGATTCATATTCACATTGAAGAAATTCTTGCAGTATATTGTTGAGGCAGCCCAGAAAATGTTGAAAGGCTGATCGTTGATCACTGGAGGCATTGCTGGTTTGAAGACTGATTGAGCGGCCATGATAAATAACAGTAGCTCTCCTAACCACGGGACCCATGGGTTACCCATAGCTGGTAAGTTTCAGCATTCCAGCAACCTGCCAAAAATAAGAAAAAAGAGCACATGATGTAGTCAGACAGATGTCTTTAATTTTCAGATACATAATGAATAAACCAAATATTTCAAAGACTTACAAGTTTTATTAATATGGTGACTTTATTTGTCGCTCCATCTCAACACAAGAAGAAATAAAAAGAGATGTTGCCCCTCTTTGCAATGTGAATAAAAAGCCCAGTGAACAAAATCTATAAAAAGTTTCATCCAGAAACAAACCTGCTATACAAATTCTACCTGCTACTTTTTCTGAAGTAATATTCTGTAACCACATACACAACTCAAATTATCGTGCAAAGAAAAGCCTTTGGCTAAAAGCTGAACTAGGAAAAAGAGTCTGAATGGATTGCTATACCTTCTTATTAATCACTCCAAGAGTGACTTCCCTGTCAGGAATTAACAAATGCTGACATTTTCAAACAAATATTAAATGAAAGAATATCAAATTGTACTATCAGAAAGTGATATTTTGTATATAATTTGAAGCACACTGGCCTGAGAGATTTGATTGTTCTTAAAACAGCGAAGTTACCCTTGGAATAGCATAGGATGAAGCAGAAACAGAGATGTCAATTATCTGCTGTTGGCTATGGATTTGGGTATTATCTTCTCTTGGCTACATAAATAAGTCCTAAAACCTATTAGCTATTTAAGTCCATTATTTTCCCATGAAGAAATTGAACTCTATTTTCAGCAATTAAACTCTAAATAAAACTTGGCTGTCTAATCCCTTCTACCTAGTCAGTTGGGACAAAAACTGCCACAGAATTCTCCCAGAATCTAAGGGTTATCTAATAGTTGATGCATTCTAGCCAATAAGATCTCAGCCTAAAAGCAATATGGCTGAAGTTCTCTATATCAAAGCTATTTTCTCATGTATTGTACATTTTAAAAATAAGGGAATCACAGGTTTTATTTGGATGTAATTAAGTTCAGGCTTTGTTTAGGAGGTATGCTTTACTTTGTATGTAATTATTGCTATCTTTATTTAAATTATCTTTATTAAAAGTGAAAGGAAAATAAACATTAACCAAAATCATGTTCATAAAATTATAGGCTCTCTGTATAGTGGCTTCTTAGATCAACAAATGTGAATAATTTGCTGTTGCATCCATTAGGTGCTATTGTTGTAATAGTTGGATTTGTGTGTAATTTGTATTATTTGACATATTAGCAGAAAGTGGCTTTCTTCCCAGCCCTCTCTACAAACTTTGAAATTCTGTCCATAAGAGACGCAAGGAATTACTGCCATCTGGTGGTAACAATGAATGGTGACCTAAGAGAATCATCTAATTTCAAGGCATTTGTTTTTCAGGGCATTTTGTTGAATATTGTTATCATACACGATTAGACTTCTACATAAGAGCTTCTTCTGAGAGCTTTGGAGTTGGGAAATGTGAGGCTAAACCTTTTTTCAGAAAACCAGGATAAAAGGAAGGCATACGAGTTTTCAAGTTACCACTTGCAATGATAGTTACTCAGATAAAAACAGGCTCTGGTAGTGAGGTGATTGACTATTTACTGGGATAATTCTCACTAAAGACCCAAGTTCCTTGACAATATGAAGAGAATTTACACATGCCAGGCCAAAAGTAAGCCCTTACTTCCAATTCACTCAGCACTTACTAGTACATGACCAGCAGAGGGCCCTTCACATCTACTGTAGGCCAGTATGGCAGGACTTTATTCTCTTAGTTGACTTCTTTCTCAGAACTTGAAAAATTAAGTTTTGGAGATTTAGGTAGCCATTTTTTTTGAAAGTTATCCTTGAAGCAGTAATAGGCTAGTTCTGAAATCTCTCCCTGGTGCTCCTCCAGCATCTTCTGTGATGCACAAATCAGAAGAGAGAATGGCACAACTTCCATGTAGGATGGGAAGGTATAAGAATAATCACAGCAATACATGCCCAAAACTTCCCATGCTATTAACTGATCAATGATCATTTAGCCACGTTAAGGCTCACATCAAAGCACTTCTACTTTACTTCACCCAATATAGTTACTGAAAGGTATATACTTAATAGTACCCAAGTATACACACCAAGAAGTTCCAGTGAATCAGTTTCTGTGCCCAGGTTGAGAGCCCAGGCTCTCAAACTAATTGCCTTATTTTATTTTAAGGTGTTTTAGGGGACTTTAGTGGTCTTGTTACTCATTTAGCTATTATTTCACTCCTGTTCAAGGATCATTTCTCCTACCTAGTAACAAGGTATTTCTTTCATTCTAAGATGATTTTCATTCTAAGATGATTCCAGGATTCTTTTTTTTTTAATTTTATCTCTCTGTTTGCCTCCAATTAACACAGACTAGTTAGCAAATCACCAGCAACTGATATCACTTTTTTTTTCTCTGTAGATTAACCTGGTTTTGCCATTTTGGATAAATAGAATCCTAAGTTATATTACCTTTTGTGACTTGTGACTTTCATTTAACACAATGTTTTCAAGGCTCATGCTTGTTGTATTAACATTTCATTCCTTTTCCTGAAAAAGAAATTAACACAACAGAATATTATTCTATGTGTGTACTATGTATGTGCTTATCCATTCATAGGATAATAAGAATTTGGGTCATTTCCTCTTTGGGCTACCGTAAATTATACTCGTATGAATAGCATTGCGTACATTTTTGTACAGACACGTTCTCATTTCTGTCGAGCATATACTTAGGAATGGGATCACTAAGTCATACGTTAATTACTAAGTCGTATGATAATTGTATGTGTAAGCAGATGTTAGCTTCTCCTTACTGAGAAGTAACTGAGTTCTTTTTTAACGTAAAAGGAGCAAGGATTATGGATCATATTTTCGGAGGTTTCATGGATTTTCAACCCATGGTCATCTGGCTCTGGTGCTTTGTATCTGTGGTGGCACAGTTGGCTTTGGGTTACAGCAGCCTACAGAGAAGACCTGGTAGCCTGACGGTAGACAGGAGGCAAAGAGAGACCACAGAGGCTGGGATACTAATATCCCCTTACAAGGCACACCTTCAACCTCCTAGCTAACTGCCCCTCACTTCCTGAGGATTCTACTGCTTCTTAACAGCAACTCGATTGTTCAACACGTGGGCTCTGGGGCTAGAGCATCAGAACACCTGAATTTTAACCCTAGTTCCATTGCCTCTTGCATCTGTGTTCTTAGGAAAGTTATGTCTGAGTTTCTTTATAAATAGAATCAACGACATCTGGCGTGACAGTAAACTAGTTGAATGATAATTTGGAAGGTTCTTAGCATATTTAACATACCACATAAATGTTTATTCTTTTAAATCAATTTATATATCTTTTAACTTAATAATTTTGTGAGTTCTTAAAGTAGAGAGGTGAAAGGAGCCTTCTCCCCTGTGCTGTTTCAGCTCTACTAATCATTTCCTGTTCTCCCTTGGTCTATAACTTTCACTGTTAAGTCATTTAAACTATTGCTTTTTACCTTTGCCTTTAGTGCCTTATAAATAGTTCTGATCTTTACCTTGAAAAAGTTCAAAGTTCACCTAAAAACAAGTTGTTGGGTTGTTGTTGGTCTTTTCCCAGATATTGATGAGCTTTTCGTTGGAGAAAGAAATAAATGTTCAGGTTTCATACCCTATTTTACTCACCTCAGGAAAGATACTTAGAAAGAAGGCCTCAGCAAGTACAGGGGGCTATTGTGTGAAGACTCATCTTAAAAATGTCAAGGAGGCTGAGGAATGGTGGAAAGAATGTAGTTCAAAGACGTTATATTAGCTTCCCATGGCTGCTGTAACAAAGTCACACAAATTTGTGGCTTAAAATATTAGGAATTTATTTTCTGAGAGCCTGGATGCAAAACAACTTTCTGTAGAGGCTTTTTGTCCTTTCAGCATAGTTTACAAATATTTGGCTTGTTGTTTTCTTAAAACAAACCCTTGGGGAAGGTTTAATTTCTGGGCACTATGCTATTAACAAAGCGTCCTATCCTATGTCTCTGTCACCTCCGCACTCAAGGAATCAGTGTTATTCTATTCCAGTTTGGTTAAAGATCTCCTGTTTGTATGGATCCCATTGTGATTCAGAATCATGACTCTTTCAAAGTAACTTACACATTCCACTAGGAACAAATCTGACTAACCTAGGCATATTTATAACTGAGCAATCCATAACCATAGCTAGCTCCTATGTCCTGAAATTCTGAATGTTATCAACCCAAACCCAGCTACTTTGAATCTCAGATCCTATTACTGTGAAAAATGCTTGGAATATTATAACAGCAAAATATAGAGTCTTTTCTAGCAAATAAATCAAATTGTTCTTAAGTAATAAAAGACAAAAATAAATTACATTTGCTGAGAGCTTCCTGTGTGCGGGCTCTATTTGCATTAAGGAATTTGGACCAGGCCAGGTTTGGAATATTGCATAAAGTCTTCTATGTGTCTTAAATAGTACAAGTATTATTAAAACACACATACACACAGACACACACAGACACACACACATGCAAGGTTTCAAGGAGCTATTTACTATTTATTCTTTTATATAGATAAGCCACTTTTTCCATATAGCACATTACCAATATTCTATTATCACTTTATATAAAGATAACAAAAACTGTATTCCAAACTTGCCAACTCCATGAAAGGCATTGTAGTATAGATCCTCCTCAGTCCTTGAAATTAATTCAACAAGTTGGTCACTACAAGCTATATAAACAAATTGTTACCTAGAATAAACAGGCTATAAGTTATAATTCATTCTTTTAAAAACATCCTGATATTCCATTGGACATAGAGCTCATAAATAGTCATGTTTTCAGGTAGATATAATTTATATAAATGAAAATTTTTTGTACCAAGTTTCAAGAGAAAGCTGCAGGTAATAAGGACTACTGGAATTTGGTTTGTAGTTAATGAATGGTACAACAGGAAGATCATTAGATAATATGTCAGAAGACCTCTGTTCTAATACCAGCTCCATAAACTTCAAGATTCTTAATTTTTCTATGC